ATTAAAATCAGGTTAGCACGTACATACACTCTTGAAGTTTTTGATAACTTATTCAAGTAATAATTTATATTTTAATTTGTATAAGTAATGTATAAAATAGTAGTTATTTCTTACTATCAATAATAATATTTTATAATAATATGAAATACCTTACTGTGCTTTCTTTACTTTTTTATAAATTTATAAATATAAAGTAGTAATATTGACTGTTTCAACATTGTTTGGAGTTGATTTACTTTCTACAACTATCATTCAACTTTAAATGATGTCTAAATTTCATTCTCAGATATTTCTGTACCAAATTCATATTTTCGTGCTATCTGAGTTGTAATAGCTAAAAAAACAAAACCGCTGTATTGAATTATTTTCACATTTTTCACTAAATTGAATTAGTAACTTTTTACAGAGGCCTATAATATTTTAGGGTGTTTGTTTTGACTATTTAGTCTATCATTTCTTCATCAACTACCCGTGGGATAAGTTATTGTAATCGTCCAAAAACCAAAATTATTTTTTTTTCATATTTTCACGTTTTGAAGGTTTCTGAACATTTTGGCAAAACTTAGGAAAAATGGATGTGTGTGTATGTATGAATACAAATTTTGTCCACGTTTTCCAGCGCTCGGATCAACCGATTTGAATTATTCAAAAAACATTCGATTCCTATTGATAGGGAGATGTGCTGATTAGTTTTTGGAAAAGGCAGGTCCAACCGTTTTGGAGTTACAGGACAAAAAGTGCCGAAAATAGAAATCGAGTTTTTGAGAGAACGGAGCATCCGATTCGAATTTATCATTCAATTTGTAATGATGGAGAGAAGTGGTGATTAGATATTGGAAAAGACAGGTCCAGCCGTTTTGGAGATACGGAGCAAACTGTGCAAAAATGGCAGTTTTTGAGAGAAATAAGCATCCGATTTGAATGATTCAAAAAACTTTCTGCTTGTGTTGACGAAGCGATCGTTTTTGGTAAAAGAAAAAGAAAACATTTTTTTTTTTAATTTCCAAAAAATATTTTTTTTATTATCGAAAATAATTCAGATTTTCAAAATTTAATTCGGTACGGAAAGTTCCAGCAATTTGCCTCAACACTGATTTCTGGAATAGTGATTCTGTTCAATTTTAGAAAATCCTAGTAGATTTTTTAAAAGAGGTTATGTATTATGTTTTTTTGTAGTTTAGTATTAAATGATGTTTGACTATCTTTCGGCTAATTTACTCATACAGAACCTTTCGCGATATTAGCAAAATTTAGACTAGCTTTCAAATAAATTCGAAGATATCATTATACTTAGACGTTGTGTGAGATTTTTGCTAGAAATTTATATTTTTACAGAACTATTTCTATGTTTGACCAAGCTATTAGTTAGTTTTGTTTTGGTCAATATATTAAAATAGCATAAAGTCTTATCCTCGTAAATAATTCATCGTCGACAGTGAGTAGGCATCGTTATAAAGTGGAAAACGATCGTTCGAAATTATTATTTGCTCAGAGTATATCCGTTAACATGTTCAAATATTTGAATATTTTGCATGCGACGGATGAACACCGACGAGCGCCTGAACAAAGGTAAACATTCTTCATTATTTATAGTCGCGGCTTCGTACAATATTTGATCGCAATATTGGCAAATTCTGTGGTATGTTGCCAATGACATAGTACATAACATAGAGACCTTAACTGAATATAAGATAATTAAAGAAACGAACATCGAATAGAGAAAAAAATATACCAATTTTGTTAAAAAGTTCAGAGAAAAAAGTTGGCATTTGGTACAATAAATGACACTTCACTTAGAGGCATCAAAATAATAAGACATAATTTTAGGAACAAGGATTAAGAAAGAATAGTGGCACCTGATGCAGGAAAAAAAAATCCGGGTAGAAAATTAAACAAACTATTTAAGATGCATTAAATGACTTTACAAATAGAGATTTCGTCATCATAAGAAACTAAATTAAAGAAATGAACATTAGGAAAAAATATAAATCGGGGCAGAAGATAAAACCAGCATAAACCACTTGATGCAAGAAATGCTAATAAACATAAAAACCTTCTAATTCTGTATGTATGTTGCCAATGACATAGTACCTGACACAGAGACCTTAACAGAATATAAGATAATTAAAGCAACGAACATCGAGTAGAGAAAAAAAAAATACTAATTTTATTAAGAAGTTCAGAGAAAAAAGTTGGCATTTGGTGCAATAAATGAGATGATACTTAGAGGCTTCAAAATATTAAGATATAATTTCAGGAACAAGGATTAAGAAAGAAAAGTGGCACCTGATGCAAGAGAAAAAAATCCTGCTAAAAAATTAAATAAATGAACTATTATAATGCATCAAATGACTCTACAAATAGAGATTTCGGCATCATAAGAAACATAATTAAAGAATTGAGCTTTAAGAGACAAAACTGGCATCTGGTGCAGGAGGAAAAAAAAAGGACAAAATATAGAGACCTTAACAAAGGCTACTTGATGCAGGAAATAGAGAAACTTGATTAGAAAACAGAGTTTAATTCGAAAAAACATTTACATCTTATGCAGCAAGACACAAAATCTAGATAGAAGTTCAAACAAAGAAAGGCAAGGAACATTTGATCCAATAAATCACATAATTATTTTAAAAAAAATCAAAGAACTTATTTGATTCTGATATTTAATTTAATTTTAACAACAAAAAATATTCCAAGTAGTAACTTATTATATATATTTTTTTTTTTGAATAAATATTGAATCTCCAAATTGATTTGATATAGTAACTTTAATGTCAAAATTGTGGTATTAATTGTAAATAATTTTATATATTGTTTTTGATCATTTTTTATAATATAAATATAATATTGATTCATAAACATAAAGCAGTAAAAATATCTCTTTTAACATTGTTTCGAGTTGGACTTGTTACAATTATCGTTCAACTTTAAAATTCTATCTAGCATTCACTTTTAGATATTATTAATGTTAATTAAATAAAAATAAATAAACCAATTCTCTGTACCAAATTCAAACCCCATTGCATACTTAGTTGGAATTGGTAAAATAACTCCCATAGCAAATTTTGCCATTGAATTATTTCGTTTACTCGCATTTTTCATAGGCCTATAATATATTAGAGTGTTGGTTTTGACTAATTCACTCTATAATCATGCAAAGTTTTATCGTATTCGCAGGCGATTTAACATGTGGTCTTTGTATATTGGTATTTGAATATATGGAAAATTTTTATTATTTAAAATATGGCTTGTTTTAGGAGCATCAATAGCTCAAAATACTTATATATGTATATATATATATATATATATATATACATATATATATTATCATATTCCACAAGAATAGACGTATATCCCCAATTACCGCTACAAAGAGGGCTTGTTTAGACTATCTCATCATTCACATTCCACAATGGTAAAATTTGCATAAACTTGGGGTTGCAGTAATATTAGTTTTAATTTTCAAGTACATACTCCTATCTTTGTGGTGCAGATATTCTCAGTTATTGAATCTGCACATATAACAGATGTGCATTTCAAAGGGTTGTAAAGATAAATTATTTTCTACCGAATAAACACTTAATCATTCCCAGAGACAATTGATGGATTGTGTTGTTTTGCTCACCAGCCAATATGTCAGACTTTTAATAACTATGGATTACTTGCATTTTAGATGTAAGTTGTTAATAGGAAGGGATTTTAAGGAATTAGTCAGGGGTAGTTTATAAAATGACGTTGAAGTTGAGAATTATAAATAAAAGCCCCAACGCTTCAAGGTTTGCAAATGCATTCATAGTAGTATTTCAGAGAATAAATTTACAGATGGAAAAACTGGGAATTTAACGCAACTAACAGTGAAATTGTAAAACAATTTATCAAATAGATGAAAAATAATCTAAAATTTATTCTAAACTGTTCAAATACTAGAAAGACTAGTAAAACTAAATTGTGTTTGCCATATCAATGATACCAGGCTCCCTGTCTAATCAAATTTGCAAAATTCGTTATTTAGACCATATTATCTGTTTAAATATTAGTATTGAGCGCCTGTCATATTTAGAAAACAATTGAATGTACCACTTTTGAATTTTTGCCGATTTTGGTAAACTATAATAACAATGTCTGTTAAGTTTAATCAAACTTGCAAAATGCGTTTTTGAAAACATACTATCTGTTTAAACATTAGTATCGAGCACGAAGCCACACATCCATCAATTTCGCATATCTTGAAGTCCATTAAATCTACCAGTTTGAAATTTTTGTCACAATTTGGGTTACCTGTAATAACAATGTCTGTTAAGTTTCATCAAATTCGCAATATGCTTTTTTGAGAACATACTATCTGTTTAAATATTAGTATTGAGCACGGAGCCACTCGCATATTTCGAAAACAATTGATGAACTTACTTAAAAAAAATAAAAGGAGCGAAAAGAGTTAATATATATTTTGCAAGCATTTGTAAAAATTTCAATTGAGTTTAATTTTATTTAATTTTATGCAATTTTTATATTTTGTGAAAAATCTTTACTCTCTTTAAGAGGGCCCTATAAAAATTTTGGTACGGGTCCTCGCAAGGGCACGCTGCGCCCCTGTTAAGACTAAGTATCTTGAATTTTTTTTTGATTTATGAAAACGTGGAGATATCTGATGAAAAAGAAACGTAAAGCATATTATTCATAATCTTTAAATATCTGTAAAAAATATATAATTTATGGAAATAACTATCTACAAAATTATAGGCAACAAATTCTTTTCGGCATATTTGCTGTTGTTGGTTTTTACAATCATTATTTTTATTGAAAGCCAATTGATAAATAATTGATTAATTTTGCGTATTTACTATCATCTAACGGAATTTAGGGTGAACACCTCACAAAAGGTAAATTTATATGCTCTCGATAATATCTCATACAGGCCGGTAGATATCATAAGTATTTAGTTTGTGAGCTTAAATAAAAAATAGCAAATAAAAATATTATTATAATACAATTAATTTTTGACTTTTGTAAAAATGTTTATTATAGGTTTATCTATAAATCATTACCTATGTTCAGTGAAATAGTTTTACTTAAAACTTAATAACTAAAAATTATATCATCATGCTTCAATTTTAACATCAGAATTCTCTTCGATCCAATCCAAATAGCTGCTTACTCTTGTAAAACCAGTAGGGAATCCCAATTCGCATCCAAAAGCCAATCCAAATGATGTCAAACCCACCTGTTGATGAGAAGAAATATATAAGAACTTCAGCACTTTATTTGAATTTTTAAATATTTTACCTGTGTTGTTTTGCCATCGGTGTCAACGACGGTTAATGGACCGCCAGAGTCACCCTGAAAAGATTAAAAATGCACAGTTATTTATCTATTAACAAAAAATAGACAAATGCTTAAATAATTATCGTTAATAGCTAAAAGTTAGATGGTTTTATTACCGCGCAAGTGGATTTTCCTCCAACACCACTGAAACAGATATTGGTAGGTTGGATTACTCCCAAGAAAAATTGATTGCATTCTTCATTTGGCATTACACTATTATGAACAAATTGCAAAACTGAAGTAATTGTGGTAGCAGCTGCAAAAAAAAAAACAAGTAAATAATATACGACTGATCATTATATAGATGCATTTTAAAATATTATAATCAAAAATGATATGAAGTATAACTTACAGTCTCCATTCTTTCCCCAACCTGAAGCGGTTGCGTTCAAATTATCAAAAGTGGTTGTGGCTTGACTTTTTTTCGGCAATCGAGATAATTGTACACGATCTGAAATATTAGGATAATGATTATAATGTAAAAAAATAAAATTGAATGCTAATAAGTAAATTTTAAAGTTGTTTTGACTAATCTATTTTGAAAATAAAATCTTGATGACTCTATATATAGAACCATATATGGTTCGCTTCCAAAACGAACAAGATTTGCTTCCAGTTTAGTTTTGCAAAAATTGTGAATAAACTATATATTAAATTTAGGTAAAACCCTTCGTTCTTTTTACATTTTTTAGTTTCCTAACTATTTGCAAAAGGTTTTATTCTATATTCATAAATTATACCATTCAATTGAACTGGTGATGGCAGCTTAACCAAGGCAATGTCGTTTCTCAATAAGAAACTGTTCCAGTCCTTGTGGACAACTTTAGTGGAAGTCTCTACTCTCAAAGTTCCGGCTTCGTTTTCATCAGTTACGTTGTGGGCTCCAAGAACAACAGTGAATGATTTTGCTCTGTAAATAATTAAAAAATAGTAGTAAAAAATAAGATTGGGTAAAAATTGAGGTTGGTGCAAAGCGATAGCAAGCTCATATAATTCAAGATAAGTACTACTTTGTTCTATACTCAGTTTTGGACAGAACATAATCCGAACTTAGGAGCTCTGAGAGCTGATGTTCTCAAACTTCTACTTACTACATAAAATAGAATGGATTTTTTTTTACTTACTTATCGGCGCAATGAGCAGCAGTCAATACATAGTTTTGGGAAACCAAAGAACCTCCGCAGAATGCACTTTTTCCATCATCCATGTGAACAAGAACAGCAACCTACAATATTTATATTAGCTTGTTAAATATAATCAAAATTTTGAAATACATTTTGGTGACTAGTATTTATGTACATATTGTACTGAGGGCATCGGCATTCACCGATACAGATAATACACGAAATTTCCATTTGAATGGCATAAGCCGTTTCTTTGTAATTAAGTATCTTAAAAAAATATAGCCTTCGAGCCCAAAAAAATGAAATTAGTGAAATAAATTAAATTTGATAAATGCAATTACAGATATTATAAATTTGAATAAAAAGTAATATATGGAAATCACATTGATTAGCTTTTAGTAGAAACGTAACCTATATTTTCAAAATAAACGGTTGAAAATTGTATCGTCAAAATAACAAAAATGAATCAAATTTAATTCTTATTGATTATTTATAAATAATATGTGTATACACATATCAGAAAGTCCGTGCTACTTCCTTTAAAAAAAAACTTTTAAATTTTTACCTGGAATGGGAACTGATGTGGTGTAGCTTCTTCACCCCCAGCAATACGTTCTCCAGTTTTCCTCCATGCAGGCAAATTGCTCATGATGGCAGGTTGCTCGATAGGTTTCACATTTTTCCAATCAATTCCAGTTGCCGACGTGGCAACAACCAACAACAATACTGCTAATAGAGACTTCATTTTCCTTATACGATATTAAATCGACTAAATTAATAGATTATAGTCGTCTTTATATATAAAAGCCTTCTATTGTTTACATATACTGGATTATATTAATCTATGACAATTTAAATCTGCTGATACTTTTTTGTAATGATTTCATAAAGATTAGATATTATATACGTTACATTTAAAGTATCAGTTTATATTTGATACAGGTAAATTGATAATCGTGATTGATTGCAAATAAACAAAATGATAAGAAATTTTTGTAATATTTTGTACTAGAACTTTGTATTTGTATTTATTATTGATGTTGAAATTAATGTTGCTTATTAGTTTATGCCTTTATTTCATTTGTTTCGATAAAAAATAAATTAATTTGAAATTTGCTAGGTGTAAGTGGCATTTTGTTTTAAGGTAAGATTCAATAACTTCACAACATATGTAAATAATCATCTTAGGAATCTGTTTAATCAGAAGGAATAAAATTTGCAATTGTTTATTTCGACAATAAAGTTTTGAAATCCAATTCAATTTAATTATGCTTTCGTAAACACTCGCCTAATGCGACAAAGTGGTTTTACTAAAGTTATTAACTTACTAAATAGTGACGAGTATAAGTATAATCGGTTATTAATAAAAGAAATTTTTCCTAAATAATATGTTGATCATTTATACGGATTTTAAAAATATTATTATATAATCAAAGAATCTTAATCGCTAAAAACTTTTACTAATAATTTAAAGTAGAAAAAAACTTCAACATATGCTTCTATTAAAATTATCCTAGTTTACTTTTAGTCATTTGATGTAAGTAATTTATTACGATTTCAATTGATATAAGTAAGATAATATAAGATTGATAACGTAACACAATATAATTTGTAAAAAGAACTTCATACAAATACTTGATTCGAATGACGAACGATTCGGATTTTTTTATCCGATTCTAGAAATGTTCGCCTCTAGTTAAAATTAATGATAAACAGTAATAACTTCATGTTTTATAGTATCAAATTTTTAATTAAATTTTTGTTGACAATATCACATATAAACAATATTAACTACACACTACAAAAAACTTATGTTCAATAAAAATATGAATATATTATTTATAAATATGTTTATATTCATTCGGAATAAAAAATCACAATGCATTTAATCTATAATTAAACTAAATATAAAAAACAATTAATAGCAATTTTCTAAAATCCTGCTCTTTCCAAAGCGTTCAGTTGAATCTGCAATCGTTCTTCTTTGGCTTTACGACTATGAGATAGTTTCCGGGCACTCATAAATTCAGATATAAATAATTCTACACTGTATTCGCCATTCAAAAACATTTCAGCTATTTCTTCACAATCTCTATCACAAGTTGCTGCAAATTTTTGTAGAAGTTCCTATATAAATAATAAATCATTTTAAATATTAACAATAAGTATGTATTACTATTTTTTATCAAAATATTTACACAAATATTCTGTGGTGCATATCTATCTGCCATTTGCTGATATTTATCGTTTAGTGATTCACAACTCTGTCTTAACTGCGAAAGCATTTCAAGACTGGTCATTAGGTTCTTCTTTAATTTCTCCAGCTCTGCTTCTTTTACTATTGTTGAATCTGTAAAATGGCACATTATATTCAGTACTTGCCTTAAACTTCTTAATTAATGGGAATAAATGTATATATTAGTTTACGAACTAGCTATGGATTCTACGTTCTGCATCATGTTGTCTAGATCGGTAGTTTGTTGCTGCATTTGTTCATTTGTTGATAAAAATTCATCTAAGTGGTCATCATTTAATAATTTTCTTAATTCATTATTATTTAATTGTTGTAACTGCATTCTAATTGAATCAATGGGAGTACCACTTTCACTCGTATCTAGATTATCTATAAGAATAATTGTAAATAGTTACATATATGCATCAGATTTGCAAAAAAAAAACAAATATTTAGATATACCTTTATATGAAATTTTACCAGCAACCGATGTTTGTGGCATCAATATACCAGAATCAACAGGGGACGGAGGATTTCGTTCAAACTCTCTTATTATAGCTTGAACTACTCGTCCAAGATCGGAATGCACAGTAAACTAAAAAAGTTTGTCGGCAAGAGTTTTTAATATTTATCATATTAGGAAGTTATTGTAATTATGAAATTGCACTTACATTTAATAATCCAGGGGCATCTATTACTTCACCAGTCATCTGTTGAATCCAGGAATGTTGAACTATTGGTCTTATTAACAAACGGGGTTTATCGACTGGAAATCCAGGTCCCAAAAGCACACAGACGCTCATGTGCCTTCCTCCAGATTTAAATTCGACTCTGTATTCTTCATTTTCTATTATTTCAATAACACTGGAGAAAGCATAATATGATAATTTGTATATGAACGCATGAATAGATGTAATTACAATAAAGCGAGTGTTACAATTCAAAAAAGGATAACATGGAGAAGAATATGTTTTGAATAAATGTTCAATAGTCCTAAAGTTTTCACATATTTATTTAGCAATAATGAAAACTTACTTGTCATTAAATATTTTTAGTGTATCAATCTGTTTCCTTCGCTTTTCAATATCACTTATATATCCACGTGAAATCATTTTATTTTATAATAATTCTCAATTATTTAAGTTGATATATACATTATCTTATTTACATCTTTAAAGTAAATAAATTATCAGAAACAAACAAAAATCTTTATAACCTGTCATCCACATTTGTTTTCAATTTGACATCTGTCAAAATGATAAAGCTGAAGTTGTCTGCAATTCAGGGAACGCGCCAATTTAAACGAATTTAAAAATTAAATTTGGATTTCGCTTTTGTATTATATATGAATAATTATAAATGTATTAAACAGTTTATTTATAAACATTAATATTTAATTTGGTTCAATTTAAACCTATAAAAAACATTTGTTGAAATTGTAACTTTGGTTAAATTGACTTAAATTATTATTAATATATAAATATATATCAAAATAACATATGTATATTTTTGAAAGACTTTTATTATTTGCATTTATTAAATATATACTTTATAATGAGATTAATTTGCTATAAGAAGTATAGATTTAATCTAGTTATAAGCAAAAATGTAACATAAATTAATTAAAATATTAAGATATAACATGCAAGAGCTATTTCTTACAATGGTGTGCTAACAGTGGCGTCGGAACCAAATTTTTGATGGGTGGGTTCGTTTTTTTTTTTAGATAGACAGTCAGTGGTTTCGTTTTTTTTTTTTAGATATATTAGTCCATATAATTTTTTTTTTTTGAAATTGATGGGTGGGCTGAGCCCCCCCATTAAAATTCATGGGTGGGATCAAGCCCACACAGCCCACGCGGTTCCGACGCCACTGTGTGCTAATATATATATATATATATATATATATATATATATATATATATAAAATATTTGTGTTTATCTGAAAAATAATCGTGATTCTACGAAATATTATTAACAAAAAAGTTTATCAATACATTGTTTATTGAATTCAAATGAGATTATTATTATTATAATTAATTAAAATAATTATTTATTACAATTAACTAAGGTTCTATTTCAACATCCGAATGTTTGGCAATCCAGTCCAAATATTTGGAAACTCTTGTAAAACCTGCTGGTGTACCATATCCACATGCATATTTGCTAAAAGACGATAAACCAACCTGAAAATCGTAAAATATTTAGTGCAACTCGTATAGAAATTAGGAAAAAATAAGCATTTTTGTAATAATCTAATTTTTGTTCACTTACAAGTCGAACAGTTCCTTCATTGTCTTTAATGATCATCGGGCCACCGGAATCACCCTGATAAAGAAAATACATTTACAAACCTGACTTTAATTATCACATTAAAATAATATTTAGGGAAATAGAACATACACGACATGTGGAAACTCCATTTTCTCCACTCAAACAAATAGTGGTGTCTACAACATTATGAGGGAAGTATCCTTGGCATCTTTCGTTAGACATTATTTTATTTTGTCCAAACCGTAAAACAGGACTCAATTTACTGTCAGCTAAGATAAAATAAATCATGATGTTAGTAAATATTTTTTAATATTTCTGATCAAAAAATACTTACTGTAGTTCAGTCTTCCCCATCCAGAAATAGTTGCGTCTACATCATCAAATGAAGCATTTTCGTCGCTTTTTCTTGGCAACTTTACTGCTTGAATATTATCTAAAAAGCATATATTTAGTTTTGAAGAACATAGCATGGCATCTTATTTGAATTACCTGCAAATTTGACGGGTTTTGATAATTTAAGTAAAGCAATATCATTTTCTAAATATTCGTAATCCCATTTTTCATGTATCACTCTTTCATGAGATAGAATTTCTACTCTTCCTTCTTCGACAGTATCGTAAATATTGTGAGCTCCAAGGTAAACCGTAAAATTATTTGACCTATAAAAATAAAAAAAATATGTAAAATAATATTTTAGTAACAATTTACTTTAATTCTTCTGTTAGATAAGCAGTACTTACTCTTGAGCACAGTGAGCAGCAGTCAACACATATTGAGATGATATTAAGGCACCTCCACAAAATCCTCTACCATCTCCCAAATCTATCCAAATTCCTACCTGTATACAAAATTATTGGTAAAAAATAGTAAGTTAACAGAAAGTTACAGAAAGTAGAACAATTGAAAATATTTTGTAATTAAGAATGCAAAGCTAATAGTGCTTTGATACTGCCTTAAACCACACCGCGAGTCATTATAAATATCATCATCAATTACAATTGTAATTTCCTACCTGGTGAGGAAATTGTTGACGTCCAGCTTCTTGACCATTTGTGATCCTGCTCGAAGGATATCTCAACATTGACAATTTATCAATAAGAGCTGGTTTTTGGTTTCTAACATTTTGCCGGAAAATTAAACCAGCTTCAGCAAAAGCTGCTAATATTAAAATGGCCACAACCGATTTCATGTTGCTGATTAAAAAACACTGGTTTTGAAACAATATGGGAGTCAGTTTATATACGTTTCGGTATAAATTTATCTGTACTTCATCATAAATTAATTAGGTTCGTATATTGTAAAAATATAATACGATTAGATATCATATTGCTTTAGAGTGTATATATTTGATTTTTTTGAAGATACTTTTGATATTTTATGATATTGGAAAAACCATTGATTATAATGAGTGTTAATTATTATTCGAATATGAATATACAATCAGTTATCAGTTATATTGTTTTAGTTTTTATTGATATGATTTTTATACACATCATTCCACTTACATACTAATTAAGATCAATTGATATTAATTTGATACCTGATAGCATACATAGTTTGAAAAGCTATCTGAAATTCTAATAAATTTTAGAATAAATACGTTCAAAAAAATTTGCGTTTTTTAATTGAATTATTCTTAATACATTCAACGGTTGTTAAATATTTTTTTTGATAAAAACTTATTTTTAACTTACCGAAAAAGAAGTTTGTTTGCGTCAGAAAATCCAATTGTACTATTTTATGTTTTCTCGAGGTTTTAAATCATTTGTTGGACTTGAACATCACACAAAATTGGAAAATGTATAAATTCGTGTGTAAGTGATCTAAATTTTAAACAAACGTCGACATTTTCTACAAAAAACTCTATGATGAATTCAAAAAAAAAATTTTGATGAAATAAAAGCCATAAAATTTGACTAGATTAAATTTCACGAAGGACTTGCGTTGATTAGTTTAGTAAGACGACTAGCCAAACAATTTCTTAAGAATTACCAAAAAAATTGGAATAATATACACTATAAATAATGGAATAAATATAAATTGCATTAATTAGTTTTTGATGAAAGCAATAACTTTATCTTCAAAATAAACGATCAAATAAAACGTCCACTATTTACATGAATCGGGAAGTTTATGCAACTAACCACTAGACAAAATGCCATACAGTTAGTTCAAACTTAATTCTAAAGCTCATAATTTAAAAAAATGTGACAATTATTGATTTTCTTATCTTAATATTAATGGAAATAGCATGAATACTTTATCTTATTGTAAAAACAGTTTTTAGTTAAATTGGGCATTTTTAACAGCTGTAAATTGCTTTAATTTTTCAAAGTACCAAATTTATGTTTCTTCCACAATTATAATTTTTTTTATCTCACATACTATATTATTTTCACTTTAATAATTATAAAATTAGTTTTACTAAATTACCATTTATTTTCAAGCACTTTGTTCTACTATTCAAAATATACTAAAATCTTCAACTATTTCTGTATGCTTAATTATATAAACTTAAATAATAACTAGTGATATAACAAAATGTTCGAGGAATACTGAATGTTTTCAAATAGATTATTATTAATATTGTAACATTGTCTAATATTCATAAGAATATTATATAAACTGTATTGCAAAGTTAAAATTATTTGTTTAAAGTATATTGAACCATAGTCAGAATTAAAAATAAAATCTGAATTATTTTCGAGATTCCCCACTATTCCCCATCATTACTAATTGAATGTTTTTTAGATCATTCACATCGGATGCTCCTTCCTCTCAAAAACTTTATTTCTATTTTCTGTACTCTTTGTTCTTTATCTCTGTAACTGCTAGACCTGCCTTTGTACGTTTTTTGAATGTTTTTTGAACCGGTTGATTCGTGCGCCCGAAAACGTGGCTGGAAATTTGTATCCATACATACATACACATACACACATCCATTTTTTCTGTGGTATGCCAATATGTTCAGAAACCTTCAAAACGTCAAGAAATGTAAAAATTTTCAATTTCGATTTTTTCGACCCACTACTATAACTACCCTATGGAAAGTTAAAACAAAAAATAAAACAAAAAAACCGTTTAACGAGTATATCTATATATATTTTAAAATAAATTACAATCAGACTCCCGACACACTCTTAATCCATTTTCGAGCTGTTGAGATTTTTGCATAAACTCCTGGTACACCCAAGTGTCCACATTTCTCAGACCATGAGACGATACCATATTGGACACCATCAAATACAATGGGGCCTCCAGAGTCGTTGTTACAAATGCCTTTACCATCCTCGGACCCAGCGCAGAACATTCGGTCAGTAAGACGTCCTGGATAGGCTTTTTCGCACTCTTCTTGAGGTATAAAAGGGACCTCAACTTCTTGAAGAATGTTGGTTGGCGGAGCAGGCTGTGATAAAGAACTCATGAAGAAATATATTTGGTTTATATAAAAACAGTACCATATACTTACATCGGTTAATCCCCATCCGGTTACAACGAGTCTAGCACCAGGTTTCAACTCAGATCCTTCATCAGCAATTTTTATTATCTGAACTTTGTCATTAAGTTCTACAGGTGTTTCCAATTCCAAAAGTGCATAATCAAAGTCAGCTGTACTTTGGTTGAACGTATGACTATATTGAGCTTTAACTTTGTGGACGACACCTCCTTGTTCTTTTATAGTGCTTCCAACACGTACATTATATTTTTCCTTACTAAAAATAACCATCAAAGGGTGAATGAAAAATCACACTAACATCTTCAAAATTTGAATTTTGAGAATTACGAGATACAATGAGCAGCTGTCAGAACCCAATTTCTTGATATTAAAGAACCTCCGCAACTGTGAGTATTACCAAATAATAATGAAACTTGGTATGGATAGTTTTCTATGGTCGTATCATGTCCTCCAACAATTCTGCTACTTATTCCTGTACTTGGATGACTTGCACCTGGTAAAAAGATAAAATAAATATTTAAAATTAATATTTATATAAAAATACCACATTATTTATAAACTATAGGTTAAATATGAATTAATGATATAAATAATTAATTTTTTTAATACCCAATGAACTGCAAGCAAGTAGTACTGATACTACAACTAGACACAACATCTTGAGACTGATATCGTTATGAAACATTACGTTCTTTTTATATTATTTTGTGATTATTTTAGACGCAGAATTTGATTTCAGATTATCAATAGATGATATCATGGTCTAATTGATTTTTGATTGAAATTCATAGAGCTGCGGAAAATTATTTATAACACATTAAAATTTTTGTTTTTATTTTGGGAATCCCTTAGTAATTAATTTTAATATAATAATTAAAAATTTACGCAAATACAGTTGGTCAAAATTTTATACTTTATTTATAACTAAGCTTTTTTTTTAATTTATTTCAAACTGATCATAATTGTTTATTTCTCTATAAACTTTAACAAAGAGTATTTTGTAGATTTTTAAGTAAATGAACAAAAATTGATTGATATGCAATCTAGAAAAATTGATAAAAATAATTTCAAAAGGAGAATTTGTTAGAAAAGTTTATAAAAAAAGCATTAATTCGATAAATAATCAATGATGTCTCATTTATTTATTAATCAGCAAACACACATTACATTAAAAAATTGAGCAAAAATTGAGTAATTTTTTTTAGAATTTAATAAAAATAATTTAATTTTATTATGATGACCTTTACATAACCATTATTCTCATTTGATATGTGCCTTGAATAGATATTTAGAATCATATTATTAGTTTATATTGTTATCGAATAAAAATGTATGAATAAATAGTTAGATTAGATATATAAACATATACAAAGATGTGGCACTTCAGACAAATATGATTAAATTTCATTGTCTGAGGCTAATTTTAATGATATCTTTCTCAGAAATTTCAATAGTATTGAATACTAAACTTCATTTGTTATTTTTTAAAAAGCTTAAAAAAGACTCTCGAGTACTAGCCTCGGTATGAGTAGTAAATGAAATGAATAAATGTTTTTTATTTATGACATTCTTTCACTATTTTTCAATTGTATCTTTTATAAAATTTAAAAGCTTTATTATATTATGTATATTTATATTAATACTATATATTTAAAATATCAAAGATAAATTGGCTAATGATTTTTTTTATTCGTTGTTGCTAGTAGGTCATATACAGCAACTTAATAAAAAATAAATCAATATAATAAATAAACACTACTAAATCCTTTTTTTAATTTCTTCAAAAAACAAATCTTTTACTATCGATATGCTTATAAAAACAAAATAATATATAAAAAATAAAAAATCTAGATTAGATGTAACTATTTATATTTACAACTCTTACTATATACATAAATAATACAAAATAGAGATTTCAAGAATAAATTAAACACCAGACACTTCCTTGATCCAGCTGCGAGCGGTAGAGATTTTAGAGTAAACTCCAGGATAATCAGGAAGTGCACAACCACGACCCCATGAGACAATTCCATGTTGAACACCATTGACAACAACTGGGCCACCAGAATCACCTTGGCATGAGTCCTTGCCTCCTTGTCCCAAATAACCAGCGCAGAACATACGATCAGTCAAACTTCCTGGGTAAGATTTGGAGCAAGTGGTTTGGTCGACATGTGGTACTTGAACTTCTTGCAAAACATTGGTTGAAGGTCCATTCTGAAGAAACAAATACTATTAATATATGATAATTTTTAAGTCACTACTAAATAGTTTTCAATTGACAATTAAATACTTACTCCAGTTGATCCCCATCCAGTAACAGTTAACAAGGTACCAGGTTTAAGATCTACTCCTTCATCGACCAATTTTATGATGGACACATCATTTGTGAGTTGAACAGGAGTTTCGAGTTCTAAGAGTGCGTAATCAAAGTCAATAGCAGCTGCGTTGTATTTTGGATGTCTGTAATGGTTTTTAACTTTATGCAAGATACCACCGCTGTTTACGATGGAACTTCCTACACGGACATTGTATTTGTTAACTCTAGAAAAGAACATGGAATTTAAGTATATATAAACATAATTGATATACCATTGTTATGAATATTATTGTATCTACCCAATGCAATGAGCTGCAGTCAAAACCCAGTTTTTGGCAATCAAGGAACCACCACAATTGTGGCTGGAGTACAATAAAGATACTTGATGAGGGTGTTTATCGATGCTGGTATCGTGTCCTCCTACGATTCTACCATCTAATCTTTTCCATGATTCTGGAACACTGGCACCTGGTTAAAATAATAACAAATTATTTCACGGTTTTTTACTTTTTGATGTTATTATATAGATTTTATAACTCACCGAATGTGCAGACAGCGAGAGCACATACAATTGCTAAGCGAAACATTTTGGATAACTGATGATTGGTGTATCTTGGTGTCACCTATATATACTTTGATTTTATCTGGATTTTTTGCAATTTTTCTAAGTTTACAATGATTTACAATGACATATCATAGGTTTTTCTGGATGATAAGAAGATTATCATGATATCGATAAGATGGATAAAAATATATATGTTTATACTAGACCAGAGTTGTTTTACTTGGAATTCGAGAAGTTTTGGATGATATTCATTATAATTTTGTTATAATGTTGACAATTTTGATATTCAACACTTATGCAGAGATGATATGTTAAGTTGTTAATTAGTAGGTTGTTTTAGGGAAATAATTAGATTTTGAAACTTGTCAATATTATTTTTGGTTTTTTACATCAGAAATCATAACTGGTTTGTATATAGATCATATCGAATTTAGTTTTCTCATATGTGCACCAGAATGCACACAGTAACAAGTATGACCAAAAATGTTACTTCAATTTAAAACCATTTAAAAAATAATACTTTTAAATGTATAGTACAAAATACTATATTTCTACTGAAGCTAAATTCTATTAATTTTATAGATGAATTATGTAATATATGAATAATTTATTACTCATATCATGAAAAAATTATGAAAGGTGTTTCAATGTATAAGTAATATTCTTATAAAAGAATTTATTTGGCAAAATGTTGAAAAACCCAGTATTTATCCAAAACTTAATGAAATTGGGTAATGCTTATTAAATTATCAGTAAATCCAAAATGATTAATTTCTTATCGACTTCTGTAAAATCCATGGTTATTTTTAGAAATTCCAATAATAATTCTTTGTCTTAAAAATCTTTTCGACAAAAATGCATAAACAAACAAGATTTTGTTCTGATCCACTTATATTAAATTAATTAATTATTTGAGTTTGTTTACCTGTTATTTATAAGGTCCCATACTTGATGTGAAGATGTTTTTGATATGATGCATAATAAAATACTGATGTCATTATTTTATTATGAACTACAATATTTAAAAATTAAAGTAAGAATATAAAAACTTTATGATAAGTGAATGAGATTATTGTAATAATTTAATGAGAAATAATGATTATATTACAAAAAATATACATTCAATAGTTTTAAAAATATATATGAACAACTTTACTAAATTTTGTGAAAATATAGTAAAGCATATTAGTTAATTAAATATTCAATTATTTTAGTTCTTAAACTTGAGAAAAGGGTCGAGTTAGTGTATTATTAAAGTAAACATTTTCTTTAAATTCATTTGTTTATAAGCAGTATATAAAATACGTAGGAATAATAAAGTAAATAATTAAACTTTTTTTACCTGAACTTTGAATAAAAATTCTTAATAAATTAGTTCAAACTAGATATTCTATCTTGCAAATTCTGAAAAATGTTTCTAAATTTATATTAATATTTTTTTGAATAATTTTTCAATTCTATAAGAACAAGTGAAATAATAGTAAAATTAATACATGTTAATTAAATAATATACTAAATACTATTTAAATTATTAAATATATACTAAATACTTTATAGTTGATACATTTATTTGTTGTTTGTTATGAAACTTGTTTATGGTAACTACGAACAAAAATTTTGTTTGAAAGTTAGATAAATTTGATTTAGCTATTATTAAATTAATATTTTAATTTCAAACATAGATAGTATTAAACTAATTATTATTAGAATATTTTGAAGTTCATATTCAAATGAAAAATTAATTTATTTTTAAACAAATCTTCAGAAGCATATAAGTACATAAATTTTCTTAATAATTTTTTCTATAATTAAATTTAATATTTATTTTTATTATATTATTAGTATTATTATTTTATCAGGATCTTATTAATACTAATGTAACTTCTCTAGATAATAATTTTCAACCACAGATGAGTGGTTTAATTATAGATGAGTTAAACAATATTTTTACATTAATGAATATGATATAGTTTCCTAAATAATTCTCAAATTTTGTTATAAAAATATGAGATACACTCATTAGTATAATTATTTAACTGTGTTTTATATTGGTAGTATTATTTATTCATTAGATATTTACGAAGTAAATTACTCAAAATTCATAACAGGTGGTATTACTCAAAATTAATAACAAATGTATTTATTCAAGTCCTATGTATTTCTTATGAATAGATTGATATATGAAATTTTAAAAATATGCAAAACCTAACTTTAAGTTTTAAGCTTTATCCAAAAAAATAAAAGATCAATATATTTTTTGGTTAATACATATATTTATAAGATTATGTTACATCTATATCACAAAATTAAACACCAGAGACTTCTTTAATCCAGTCACGAGCATTTGAGATCTTAGCGTAAATTCCGGGGTAGTCCGGATCGGCACAACCGACTCCCCAAGATACAATTCCGTGGAGGACACCATCGACAATAAGTGGTCCCCCAGAATCACCAGTACAAGCATCCTTGCCTCCAACTCCCAAATATCCAGCGCAGAACATTCGGTCGGTCAAAGATGGATAGGATTTCAGACAGGTTTTGTGATCGACGAATGGAACTTGGACTTCTTGTAAAACGTTGGTTTGTGGATTGCCTACCTAAAATAATAGATACAAAATTAAATTACGACATATCCATAAATTTGAAGATTAATGCATTGGTACTCTCTGAAATTTGTTGCGCTACTTACTCCAGGTGATCCCCATCCAGTAATAGTGCACATAGTAATCGCTGAAATAAAAAGTACATGCAAATAAAATTTATATTCAAGAAA